TGTTTTAAACTTAAGCAATTAAATCTAATTTACATTTTGACTTATAACTTTCTCTAATAAGTAAAACAAACAATTATTCCCATAAGCATAAAGAATAATAATAATAACATATATATTTTAAACTAGATCCAATAGGTCCCTTTTACATACTAACCCATAATTTTCTCTAACAGATAGTAAATAAAAGATTCATCCCTATATAAAAAAAATCTTTACATCATCTTACAGTCCTGGTCAGAAAACAAGATTCCAATATCACAACCCAAAATCAAAACTTATAAAATTTAACCCTGGTCAAATAAGTCCACTTTGAATACCTTTTTCTTCTTTTTAAGAGGCTTGATTTTCAGTCTCATCTTCAAATAAAGTCCCACATAGTAATTTATCATTTTCTCTCTGTCTGTTTTCAGAGGCAACTTCAGAGATTTAATGTTCCCCTTCTGTGGATCCAAAGTAAAATAACTCTCCAACTCACTCTTCTGATTTGTAATATGAACATCCCCTTTGATTATTAAAACATTAGCAGCAAAGTTTGTATATCTATTACAATTTCTTTCTCCATGTCACTCTTGTAATCAAAATCTTTAAATCCATTTTCAGATCCACAAAATCCTTTTCCATATTTTCCATGTATCTTTTATAATCGGGCATTTCTTTAAAGTCCATTTTAAACTCCTTATTCAAATCATTGTCAACTTCTGTTTTATCCAGTAAAATCTTTTCTTCTGTAACCTCTGTTAAATCCAATTTTAAAAATAAGTCCTGAAAGCATTGTTCCCAAACAGATTGAAATTCTTCTGTAGTGAGACAATGTTCCTCCATTATGTTAGAATGTATCTTTTCCTTTAATTGCTCTCTGGTTCCCTCTAGTTAACCTTCAAAGCCCAGTCTTATCTTTTATTTTCAGAGCCAAAATTTTTCCTGAGTAGGTTTTCTGACAATTAAACCCAAAATCATCCACTGTATTTTTATAACATTTAAAACAGTTCATAGAAAACTATTCTTTCAAATCCATTTGGTCCCCTAACTGTCCCCAGTCAACATTCTTAACTCCCTTTCGCTGTTTCCAAAAGTTAAGATATTTCTTTTTAATCTTTAAACTTACTTAAATCTGCCTTCTTCCACGATAGAAGGAAATTCTCCCAGTGTATAGCGACTTGCCATTCAGAAGGTTTTTAATGTCCAAGTAAATCAGTAATAAGTAGTTTCCAATGGTAATTAAAAGAGGAAGTGAGAGCAAATCTAGTGTCCTTCTGAAGGCTCCCAGCCGTGGCTTGGGCTTGATATTTCCCACGACTCCCAGAGCACACAACCCGCTGGAGATCGCTAAAATGTGATCTCTTCACAGGGAGTACTTAGGGGTGGCCCAGTCATCTCCTTTGTTCAGAGGTGTTCCAAAGAGCCAGGCCTTTTGCCAGCTCCTGCCGTGGTCATCAGCTCAGCAAAAACGGAATCCGTAATTAAGAGGGTTTTAGTATATGTATTGGACCTATTGTACACACCCAGAGTCTTCTTGGAGTTGAGCAGCATTAACAAATCCAATAAACAAAATGTTCATTCTTCCTTGGGGGAGATATCGGGAGGTGAGGCAGAGAGGCATAGACTGCCTGTTTTAACTGAAGGCTCAGATTAGGGGTGAAGCAAAACCATCCTGCTGCCATCTTTGGACTCTGCAACTGTAATCTTTCATCTACAGAGGCTGAGCCCTAAACAAATCCCAATTCTTTATTGTATGTGATACTGGAAGAGTATTATGTCAAACATTTATCAATTTCGATTTATAAATTAAATTCATTCCAACCAGTTGCCTTAATGATAATTTGATTTACTAGCATTTATGTAAGACCACCCCCCATTTCATCAAACAGCGTTGCCCTTTTAAATATTCTAAAATTTGTATAACTGTACAAAATAAGACACTGGGGTATTAATAGCACTTAACTTGAGTTTGAGTGAAGAAGTGGTACTGTACTAAAAATTGGGTGATGCAAGAAGGACTATTTTACATATCAAGCTTTTTTTTTTTTTTGGAAAGGAACTGATAAATTTGAGATTAAGGAACTTATTATTGTGCAATGAACACATTTTCAGCCTAGCTGAAAGTTTAGAGAAGAGAGCAGTTTGATTGTTCATGACATTGTTATCCTCCAGTTATACTTCTTGTTTGATCTATGTCAGAAATAAAAAAGTTATATTAAGCATTTCTATAGATTCACTTCTGAGGAAGTATTCCATGAAATAAATCTTGAAACTTGGGAGTTTATAAAGTGAGCATGTTTTTACCACACACAATGACAAGGAAAGCTTATATGAGAATACTTACATATTTTCTATGTGTTATTCCACATTTTGAATGACTTTCAATAAAGGTATGCAAAATATTACAAGTTTGAAACAATCTGACCAGTCTTTGAATGGGTGTTTCAAGTCTGGGAAATGGATTGTTCTGAGTGTGCTTAAAATGCTGCAATCTAAAATAGTTGTTTTGATTTTGGATCAGTTCTGCTATATTCTTTTGGGTTAGAACATTTTGTGCACCAGTAATTTTCACTGTTACGCATATTTGTTACACTTTAGTTATTCAAGATACTATAGATCTTACTACATACTATTAAATACTTATATCAAGTTTGTGCTTTATTGTGTATTGCCCATGTGTTTGATTGTTTGAGGGGATGATCTGAATCATGATTTCTGCTGACTATCTCATTGCCAGCTGTCAGTAATAATTGATCAGTGAACTATAATTTAATTTTAAATGGTTGATTTTTTTGTTGTGTTACTGTATTTTCATTGGTTTTGTTGTAAACTGATTTGGAATTTTAAATGAAATGAAAAGCAGTATAGATTTAAAATAAATAAAATATGGATATTTTTAGTATCTTTTGTAACTGATTCAATAAATTCATTTATTTGTGTATTTTGTTAGATTTAAACTCCTTCAGGAGCTTAATGTGATATGCATAACATTTCCTCCTCCAATTATTTCTCCGTGGCATCTCAGTGGCATTGTAAGAGATCTCTTTTCTAGCAGCAGCGGGACCTAATATTAATTTAAGCTGAAGAGAGCCAAAGTTAGTTATAAAGTATCCTCCATAATGAGATCTAAGGGAGAAAAGTCATGCCATTAAATACTTGTCTCTTGCACCATTTCCCAGCTGGATATTGCCTTTCTGAATTAAATATTTGTCCCATATGTTACAAATAGGAGATGGTGGGTGTAGATTTCAGTAGAGAAGACACTGAAGAAACCCGTTTCCAAAGCAGAGTGCCGCTTACATTTCTCTGGATCTCCACAGTGACTCGTGTAATCTGTTACATGAAAATCGTTAAAATGTCTAAATATTAAATTATTAAATAGTAAGACCCTTCACTATTTAAAATTTTTCAGTATGTGATTATGTTGTCTCTGATGTTTTAAGTACTGTAACATCAGCATTAAGAGCTTATCATAATCAAAGCTAAATTTCAGACATATTGAACAGCTTATGTAGAATGGGAGCTTCTTGTCATTGTTTAAAGTTGATAATGATGTCAGAAATACTTTATGTACCACATAAAAATTCCCAGATGCCCACTGTGTTAGTCTAAACCATCAGAAAATATTGTTAAAATATGTATTACTCACTTTGATTATTCAATACAGTTGATTAAGAAAAAATAAAATCTTAACTACTGCATTATTTATTCCATTCTGTACTTAACGTCAGTTTACAAGACTAACGAAAATCTAACATAATGAGCAGCAATTAGCTAATACTGTTTTAAATACAGAAGACTCATTACCAGAGATAAAAAACATCTTAGGAGCATTTTAAACCAGTTTTGGATGACCTTTTCACATCTCCAATTGCATCATTAGTATTACTGCCCCACCACATGGACATGATTCTTCCAGAGTGACCTCAGTCACTGTAATAACATAACATAATATATATTATGTTGTTATGTTATGTCATGACATATGTCCACATGCACTTAAGCTTTCGTCTTCTTCCAGTTACTACAGGGAAATCAAGGAACTTTTCAACTCTCCCTCTGATATCTGGCACTTTGGCTCTGTGTCAGGTGCTAGGAGCCATGCATCCAAGGGTGTCTGCAGGATGTCAGGGTCAAGATAATGGCCCTGACAGTGCAGTCGAAATATTGTCTGTTTTTTATATGCAATACTTTTTTGACCACACCCTGCTGACAGGTCTGCATCCATCCATGTCAGTGGTGCCTGGAAAACATAAATTCCCATCACCCTTGAAACTTGGCGTATGGCTTTAACAGGTTGCTGTGTCTTGTGGGGATGAGCAAATCCATCAGTTTTTGCTTTGCTGGAGCAAAACAAAAACACTAAATGGATAAGAGCAATTCAGAATGCCTGGCAGGATTTACGTTCTTTTCCAACTCAGATTAGAATAAAGCCAAAGAAAGACTTTGGCAGTCAAAATGCTTGCATTTCTTCAAAGCTATGCTGAACATTGGATAATGTTCAGCAGTACAATTACTTACAGAATACATGCTTTCCTTAATCAACATTTCTTTGATGCATTAAGCAATTGATTTATTTGTCAAGATTCCCAGAACTCTATTGCTTTTGGCATGCTTTTCTTTAAAATAATACAGTGTTTGTTCAGACTTTCTGTTCCTGTTATTCCTCTTTTTTAGGATTGGAGGAGCTGTTCCAGCTGTATTTTCATATTTTGCTGAAGTACTTGCTCGAGAGAAACGTGGAGAACATTTAAGTTGGCTTTGCATGTTTTGGATGATTGGAGGTATCTACGCATCTGCCATGGCCTGGGCAATCATTCCTCACTATGGTGAGAAATGCGGGGGGGGGGTTCTATAACTTCTCTTACCATTGTACATAAGCACTAAACCAGTTTAAATTGCAATTGTGCTTCCATTGTCATTTTCATAATGGAATTACCTGTTTAATCAGCAAAATATATGGACATAGTCTTCTTGACAAGATGCATGGGTATATTTTAAATCTCAGATTAATATAATCCCATTGTAACAGAAGCCATTGTCTGGGATTACGGATCTATGTTAAGTAAATACAAAAGCATCGGAATAAATGATGGAACTTTATTTGGCCCTTACCCCAAGATGTCCAAGCAGAGACATTTGTCTTTCGGTGGAGATTCCACATAGAGAAACCTCTGCACGATCTAAAATCCCAATAGTATAGGCAGGGATCACAACCTTAGAATAGTTTTGTTCTATACTGTAATTATAGTAACACTATGATTTAATATGTTAAATTTAATGTACAAATTTTACTTAAAATTACTTTTAAAATAATAAAACAACAGGCACTGTTTGACTTTTAGAAATATGCATGATGTCTTAGCTTACCGTAGGGTAAGGCATTTATGTACCTGGACATGCTAAATGGTTTTCAAAGGTTATTTTACCATATTTAGTAGCTTAATAAGATATACTGAAATGTTTAAATGCCGTAAATATTTTAACATTTCCTTCTGTAAATATCTGAAACTAATTTTATTTTTCCTCAGTAGAAGATGTTTTGGTTATGCCAAGCCACTTAACCTTTTCAGTACTGATGATCTTTATTTATATTTATGTTTATTATTTATTATAAATATTTACATTTATTTATATTTATATTTACATCTAGTATCCATTCCAAGTTTGTGATGTAGTAATTACAGTTAGTGGTATCATTTTATTGAATTGGGTATTCCAGAACTCTAATCACTAGGGCCAATCCTATCATTAGGTAGATTAAAGTACCTGCTTTTGTTAGTAAACAAGGATGGGGGATGAATTAGAGCTGTTCCTCTACCTACTACCCTTCCTATGATATATCTAGGCCAGGGGTTTCCAAACTTTTTCAGGTCATGTAAGTTTGTGTGTGTGTGTGTGTGTGTGTTTTCTTCTAGAATCCCTGATCAAGAGGCAAAGCTCTAGTGAGAGAAAATTGGCTCCTTTGAGTGATATTTTTGTGCGTGCTTGTCTCTCGCAGAACTAAATTCTCTGCAAAACAATCCTGGTATAGAACAACCACTCCACCTCCGTATCCTCCAGCAGTTCTAGCCTGCTGTATCATTTAGTAGTTGGTGGACAGAACGAAGAAAGATCTCTTCAGTCAGCCAGGGCTCCATGATACATGCCAGACTTCCATTCAGAATTGAAACTTGGATAATAAATGTTTTATTTATTTAATTAATTTAAAATTAAAATTAATTAATTTTAATTTAACTAAATTTATTAAATAAATAAAACGAGGTAGAGGAACAGCTCTAATTCATCCCCCATCCTTGTTTAGGTAGAGGAACAGCTCTAATTCATCCCCCATCCTTGTTTAATAAACGTTTTATTTATTTAATAAATTTAGTTAAATTAAAATTAATTAATTTTAATTTAACTAAATTTATTAAATAAATAAAACGTTTATTATGCAAGTTTCAATCCTGAATGTTTTATTATCAGCAACTGAGCAGGCATTTTAGGCTGGAGAGACCACCATCATCAATATGATGACTACTTTGGGGGGAAGGGGGAGGAGGAGGAGGTCAGCCAGCTACTAGCTTGCTCTGCTTTCCATGAAGTAGCCCAGTAGCATCCTTCCATCATATTCACCGCTGCTAGTTGTACCATAGTGTTTGCTGCTTGTCATATTTGATTGTTCTGTCTTCCCCATTTTCCTGACACAACTGTTAACAACCACCTAGCATTCCAGGTTGCTTTTGTCCCCTGCCTGTTAGGCTTCCTCCATGAAACTTGGCAGAAGCTACCCAAAACGGCCAACGTGGCAGAGCTAAATAAAAACTTTTATTGCACACTAGAATGAAGCTTGTATTTGAAGCAGCTGATTGCCATCTGTAGATATGATACGGTAGTGAAGTCCCTTACATCCTTTGCCGTTTTAGTCCAGCATTGCTTTTTCCCATCTTTCTTCTTTCAGAAGATTGGTTGAATGAAGATACTGGACATTTTGGGGCAGAGGAGAAAGTGCAATAGGGAAGAGGTCATCTTAGAGGAAAGATCAGCCAATTAGCCAATGCCTTGTTCTAGTATCAACACCAGGTGGCTATCTAGATGGATCAGCTAACCCAGACGCTTAGCTAGTTAGCCCAGAAGGTAGGACAGGACCCACTATCACTACATCTGGATCCTCTCCCAATGGGAGCCACAGTGGACTCTACAGCAGCTGTCCCATACTAGGTGCCTGCTTCCCTGTCTGACAATATTACTAAAACCCTGTTCTAATTCCTCAATCCTGGACAGCTTTAATATTTTTACTGGTTGGATGTGTATATTACACTGATGGTTTGTTTTAGCCATTGATTGTTGAATAAACTGCAGTGGATGAGATTTACAGTATGCAAGGCTGTGCAGAACTGCTCAAGTTTAATATGTACACACAAAATTACAGTAAATCCACACTCTTAAATTTCAGTTGATTTCCTGATTTAAAATAACTTAAGAACTATGTTAAGTACAGTAAAATAAAATAAATCCATTTTCATGTAGACATACTGTACATTCACTGCTACTAGGGCTGTGCAGTGCTTCTAATTTAATTTCAAGATGGTATTTTTGATCAGTTGGGGCCATGAACATAAGCAGCTGTATCTTTTTTCAGGACTGCACAGCTGCTTGCAGTATGTTTGTGCTGTATAGTATTTAATGTAAATTCCACTGTTCAGTCAATTCAGTCAGCTCAACTATTTCACATATTCTAAAAAGAATCATCCAAGTGGGTTGGGTAATGCTTTACAGAACTCCAACTGGTACTTGGAGGGTTGGATGATCTCTTCATTTATGTTTTGGGACCTGAGAGATCTATTATCCCACGTGCTGCAGAAGATTACCAAGTTCATGACTAGAGTGATACACAGTTTTGCCTATATGAAGGTAAAATCATGAGGATATGGCAAAAGGAGAGATTATTGGGGCATGCTCTTGCCACAGTGAGACCCAGATATGAAAGGGCTGTTGACCTTTATTGAAATCTGGGCAAACGGAAAAGTCAGCTTATTCAGCAAAAGTTAGTGAATTCTTTTTCTTTTGCTGGGAACAACATAAACTGCAAGTTTGACAAACAGATTGCCTGAACTGATTGCCATAAACACAAATGTTGACTTGGCATGCTGCTACTCAGATTTCAATAACATTTCATTTTATGTCAGTTCAACAACTTATTCACCAACATGGTCAATATTGTTCATGCATATTAAAAATAAGGCAATGCACAAAACATCTGCCCCTAATTATTCCATTATTAGTTTCAGTAGCATCTCCTCTACCCTTTGTCTTTCCAATTCTGCCTACCAAATTGCTTTGACTGACAACTTGCTGTTGAGATGGAAAATAGGTGCAGCCTCAGAGTTGTGGCTTAATTCTCCAGTTCTTTTTCAGGAGTGTTAATTTTCTTCTAGCTAGCAAGGAAAGTAAGACCTTGTCTTGGCTAGTCATTAATAGCTCCACAATTATCCAACCACTGCCACCTTTTATGCTTGCTAAAGTAGGACAGATGCTTGTTCTGTTCTCCAGAGGATTTTAGAGTATTGTATATACTTACGGTTCTCCTATAAAATATCATATGTTCTTAAGTGCAAATATACCTGTTTGCACCAAACCCAAACCTACATTTTAAAGAGGAGGTTATTCTATTATTTTTTTTAATAAATGTGTTTTGGTGGCTGGTAATCTACCTGTTTAATTATGATTTACAGTGCTAGATAAAAAGTTATTTGAGAATACTTTTGTTGGCCAATATTGTAAGATAAATATACTGAATGAGAGAAGGTGTCTATAAAAAGTGTTATATTCAGCATAGGAAACATTTTTATTTTGGAAGAGATAGATGGTATGCCTACATCATAACCTACAGTTCCTAATTTATTCCTAATTTATTGTTTGTACTTTTATTTTTTTTCTGATTCAGAATTATTTGTTTATAATTTTAGATATTTTAGCTTATACATTGTCACATACCTGAGTTCAAATGTCCCTTTTATTTGAGAAACCAGCTCTAATGGTGTACATATCTAAACCTAGTACAACATTGTTGGAAAATACATTATCGGTAGCAGAAAGGTTGACTGCAGGGTCATGGCCAAGTTCATTATGGAGGACAGTGAACTGTTTTGGGCAGAGTACATCTCTTTCCAGGCAGTATAATAAACTTAAGATGTTTATTAAGCCAAGTATCCTTTGGAATCGTTTTCACCCTCTTTTGAGTTGTATTAAAATGACTTCAAGTGGTAGAAGATGCAGCTTCATTTAAAAAAATTGGGGTTGTCTTCAGTTTGAAAGCACAAAAGTTACCTTTTAAAAGTGGGGAATGACTGGGAAACAGGATTGTTATAAAGATAATTGCATGTTAAAAATTGCTGAAAAAATTTAAACCAGCCATTTCTGCCTACCAAAGAAGGAACATTGCTGGTGGACCACATTTCCCCTTCCTTTTACATCCTCTTGATTCCATCTGATTTGCTCAAGGGGGCTATGGAAGCCTCTTAAATAATTCTGAATTATTGAATTATTACTTGAATACAATGAAGTTATTTAGAATAGCAGGTTGTGATATAAACGTAGTTTATATGTATCTTAAATTGAGACAAGATTGGTACTAACAGTTTTACATCTAAATGTTGTAAGAGTGCCATCCAGTGGCTGTTCAGTTAACCTTTCTGTGTAATTGAAACCAGTATTCCTTTTCCTAGTGTATACCTCCATAACCATGGTAAGAACTCAATGATATTACTAACACTACATATCTTGACTTTAATCTGAGTTCAAAATGGCTTATATGGTGGCCTCTTAATTTTATCTCTACAGTGACAATCCTGTGAAGAAGGTTGAGAGAGTGTAATTTACTGAACTCTGGTTGAATGGGAATTTGAACCAGAAGCTTCTCAGTCCAATCTGACACCTCAACCACTACATTACATCTATAAGAGAGTCTGGATGTTTAAAAAAACAAGGAATTGAAGAACAGTAGTCTTAAATTAAATCTGGAGGATAAATAGAGTAATTATGTGCTTAGTTGGGTCATTCTGATGACATATCTAACTGCAAGCTGGGTGGATTTCAGTAGAGTTAAAGTGAAAACAGCTTCATTGTTTCTAACGTTGGCTGATCTAAGTTCTCCTTCCCATTTGTGGGCATGGAAGAAGTTTGAAAGCTAATGATACTTTGGACCTGGAGCTTTTCATACCTTTGGAATTCCTCACTTGAGAACCAGCTGTGGAGATTTGTGGGATGGGAGAGCAACCATGGGAATGGATTCTCAAGCCACATTCCTCCTTCTGAGGTCCAGTTCCCTGAATTTGATGTGAGAGGGAAATCTGAGGAACATTATCTCGGGGGCCATAAAATTTTCTCCAAGGAGAAAGGCAATTAATAAATTCCTTTATTATCCTATCAATATGTTCCTTTTTACAGTGCTCCCTAATTTTCTATTGTATTACCTTTCATGGTAGATCTTACCAAACAAATGTTAAATAATTCATAGCAAACAAATGATAGGTTCATGAAGACAAGCACTTGGCTGTACAAATATTTGAACTAGTCACAGATATAAAAAAATGCACTGTCTTTGAACTAAGTGCAAAGAACCCTCAGATATATCTAGCTTAATCTAAACTCAGATGAGTGGCTTTTTTCATGTTTGTATGTGGTTGGTGACTTTTCAGGAAAAGGGGTAAGGAGCATCTGGGTAAAAATGTTAATATGGCAGTTATGACTGCATGATCAGAGCCCTGCCCCCTTTAGGTGCATATGAAATATAAAAAGGGGGCAGGGCTTCAATTGTGTGGTCATGTCTGCCATCTTGACTTCTTGTACCCTCTCCCAAAGCCTCTGTTAGAGGCTCCCACAAAGTCCTCCTTTACTTTAAAAATGTTGCATTCAGCCTTAGTGTGTGATGTATTCTGATACAGCACTCTCACAAGCATACATTTACGGAAAATACTCTAGGAGCTATCGTTTTGCTGCAAAACAGAAAAAGAAAGAAAGAAACACTTCCCCTCCCTTCCCAACACACAGAACTAGTTTAGGGTTGGTTTATTCTGCAGCAAAGTTAGAAATGAAAAATGCAGGTTTTATTGTTTTTGCTAATTTTGTGAAGCAAGACAGCCTTTCTTGGCTATAATGGGTTCTGTTTGAATAGAATGTTTGTGTGTTTTATCACTGATCTCTCTTATGCTAATATCATCCTGTAGTCTGTCACTGCAACTTGAATGATTTATTTGGTCTTTCTTGTAATCAGTAGAGTGAGAAGGTGATATTTAATGTGGAAGCTGTTGCAGAGATTGAAAAAAGCTGAAGGTTTTATTTTATGCTACAGCCCCAGAAAACTGTTCCCAAGATGCACTTGGGCCTATTGTTTTAACAACCTGTCTCACCCCTTGGAACTTGCTGCTGCTTTCAAGATTAATGACTTTGGAATACAGCATTTGCAGGGAGCAAGGGTGAAGTTTAACTTTGCAGAACTGCATTGCCGTCTGAATGAATCAGACAAAGAACACTATACATCTTCCTGTTAGGTCACAAAGAACGAATGGCAGATGCAAACCAGCAAGAAAGCAAAGAACACACCTCCATTTGGCAACAGTGCTTATCTGCAGATAAATCTATTCCAAATGCATTTTTAAATTTAGTTCTTAAAAGACAGTATCTAGAAGCCATAGTCTTCTGTAACAAAAAAACAACAAGGAATCTTGAGCCTCTTCAAAAAACAAACTGGCATGTAATAGCATAATCTCTTGTATAAAGCTATACAATGTACAGTTCAAGACATAAACATAAATAAAACTGTACTTATTTTAAAAATACATTAATTTGCTACTGTATCGTGATACTAAAAAGTGAAGGATCTAAATTTTCAAGAGGGCAGAATTTTATTTATTGTTGGTTGGTTGGGTTTTGGTAATTATATTCTGTGTAACATCTAAGTCTGAGTGAATAAACTCAGAACGCAAGAAACATCTGGCAACACTGATATAATCATTAAGGACTGTTTCATTCAAGCCCTTGGGACTTAATGATGCATCAAAATATGTAAAAGGAATGACATTTTTAGCACCATCCTGCTTTTTGCAGCAATCATGACAGGTGTTCTATTTTCTCTCTTTTTTTGAAACAAGTGAATATAAACACGGATGGCAAATTTCTGTAAATAGGACAGATTGGAAATTATTTATATCTTATCCTGATTTAGATACCTTAGTTTAACTAAATTCTGTGAGCCATTTAATCTGTGATGTCTCTAAATTTAAAACTTGTAGACCTTAATACACATTCTGTGCAAGTTTTATTTACTACAGCCTCAATATGTGTGTGAGAGAGAAAGCTATTAGGTTTTAGATCTTTTTATAGAACGATGACAGTAGGACTTCAGCATTGATACACATTATAAGAGCAGATGTCCCTTCTGGTTTGGTAGTTAAATATGTTAGATCTCTGATGTAGATATGCAACGTATGTGTAATAAATCTAATGTATTAGATGGTTATTGAAGATATTTAATACATGTAATGCAAAGGAAAGAACTATTGCAGATCTGTGTAAAGTAAATTCTTCACCTACATGTGGATAATGAAAAGGCAATTCCTTTTTACCATGATCTCTTCGTGATTAATATGATCATTGAAAATTGAATGGTAACTTTATAATCTTTTTGGTGCATATTTAAATAAGAAATTTATATCTGAATTAGACAACTGCCATAGGCAGGGAAATAACTAATTTTCTAAGTAACTAAAGAGCTAGTACACATTAATGTGTCCATCTTGGTTTAGATTTTTTTAAAAGGATTATGGAGAAAGAACAAAATGTGCTGTTCTCAATATGTTTTCATTGATTCACTGATGTTCAGTGATCACAACAATCACTGACTGAAGTGATTGTTAATAGACCTCCCAAAATGTATTTATTACAACAAGCTCTGGGCAATATGAAAGCTATTGCTTTTAGTTAGGTGACAATAAATGAATGTCAGGAAATAGTAACATTGAGGTAAGACCAACGTATGACTGAAACAGAAGACACACTGCCAATTAATCTTGTTGAAATAATAGATGCTCCCACTGGACATGGTGGGAGTAAGGGCCTGTAATACCAACCACCTGGAGTGGAGCTTTGTGCTATTCTTCTTGAAGTAGTGGCAGAAAGAGGACAGCTAATGCCAGTAGTAATGGGGGCCTATCAAAATGAAACAGTCATTCCACTGAACCCTCAGCAGCTGTTACCAGTTGCAGGCAATATAATACATTGTGCGGATAAGCCTTTTCATACTCGTAGTTTTGGATAAAGTAGTATCACTTTTATCACAGAAGCGTGGCATTGGTTTTTCAGCGGCATTTGATTTTTGGGAGAGAACAAGAAAAAATTTCCAAAGTGCAGACTCCCTGGAATAGACAGAAGTTTTGTCCTGCTCTCAGAAATGATCTGGGTTCATAAGCAGCCGTGCCAATATTCCAAAGTATGTCGCATTTATAATACATTGTTTTTTTTCCCCTTATTCAGGATGGAGTTTCAGCATGGGATCTGCTTATCAGTTTCACAGCTGGAGAGTGTTTGTTATAATGTGCGCACTACCCTGTGTTTCTGCTGTGGTGGCACTTACTTTTATGCCAGAAAGTCCAAGGTTCTTGCTTGAGGTAAAATATCTGCATTCCTTTGAGAAGTCGAGTTTACCCGGGTCTTAATAACAACCTCGGATCCACCATTAAAAAAACATTTTTGAAATTATCTCTCTGGACTATGTTATTTGCCCCTTTCTCTTTGAGAGATTTAGTAACAATCATTTAAAAAAATTCTGCCAAGTTTTGATTTATACTTTTAATCCAGTGCTGTTTGACGGGTTGCTTTTGTTATCCTGTTGTTTTATTCTAAAACTTATTTGGTAAACTGTCCTGTTTGAGATGAAAAAAATGTATGAATTGCTGAAGATCTAAGCGTTTTAGGGAGAAATGTGCACAAGTTATCTTACTTTATGATATTGTGAAAAATGGAAGTGACTTAAGGCAATTGGATCCCAAGTACACTCCGTTTAATATACCATTGAGTGAGATAGAAAGATATGCCGAAGTATTTCTTTAAATGTAGATGTATTGTGAGTGAGGGAAGAATAAATAAAGGATGGTTTATCAGCATTTGCATTCTCATATTTCTTCCTGAAATTTTCAATTGTCTTCATATCCTTAGACTGGGAAACATGATGAAGCTTGGATGATTCTCAAACAAATTCATGATACAAATATGCGAGCCCGTGGCCAGCCTGAAAAAGTTTTCACAGTGCGTATATTTTTATACAAGTATACCTCATTAGTGGAGAATTAGTTATAATTTAGATTGGAAAAATTATCAGTAGAAACCATATATTCCTCTTGAGGAAAATAATATCATGAAAAGTACCTACAATGATAATTCACATAGATCTTGAAGATATATTCTTGTTTAACGACATTTCTTGATCCAGTTGTCACTGGGGTCCAGATAGCCTTGATAAAGTAATTATCTGGCCATACACACTAATAATTTCCTATCTGGATTCCTGTGTAGCATTGTATGTAGGGCTATGCTTGAAGATGCTTCAGAGGTTTCAGCTAGTGCAAAACATGATGGCCACAACTATAATTGTTGCAGCCAGTTGGAAAATAAAAATGTCCCTTATCATAATTTCTTATTATCTGAGTAACCTGGAGGGCATTCTCCACTTCAGGATGACATCTCTTCCTGGAAGTATTAGGCAGGGTCCAATCTTGAATGACCTCTCCAGGAGGAGGTTCTTTCCTGCCTCCTAAACTGCATTGGATTAAAAAAGTCAGTTAACCCCATGATTATTTAGGGAAATAAGGTCTTTATATCTGGAGGGTGCTCAGGTTGAAAAGGCTATGTCGATACATACCTTTAAAGCCCTTCCATACATTTCTGAACTCGCTGCAGTCCTCAATAGCGTAGTCAGTACTAAAGGATATTGAATTTGTGGTTCAACAATATCTAGAGGGCCATAGGTTTCCCAACCCTGCTCTGAATCATGCAGGACCCAAATAGCTGTAAGAATGTCTCTTTGTATATCAGGTTATCATTTGGATCATCAGGGAGTGCTCATGAAATTAGACTCTTTCTTTTTAGTCCCAGGTGAAATAGACTAATAGTTTTCTCTATTCCATATATTTCCTGTCTTTGATTATTTATCAGATTTTTTTAGAGACTATAAGATGCACTCTCTCCACAGCTATTTTCTCTGAGAATAAGAGTCTTGCTCCAAGGCTGTAGTGCAGATTTACGGAAATCTGCTCAGAACTGGAAGCCATCCATAAATGTAGCATTGAATTAGATGTGGTAGCTAGGATGATACTAAAAAACCTAGGAATGAGTTAAATGTAAGAAGTATTTTCCTGTATTATTTTTAATGATTTCCTTAATAAGAAAAACACAAATAAGAATTTTTTATAGTAACTCCATATCTTCTTAGTACAGAATCAGATTCCAGTCCAATAGAACATGAGTCAGTTATTCTAATAAACTGGGAATAATTTATTTGAAAGTAATGATATAATCCAAACTTTTGAAAAGTAATGTTGGTGGATGAACAAGTGGGACAATTATATCAACATAGTAATCTGTTAATGCCATTAAGACAGGATTTACACTTAAGGGAAGATTGTTATGAAGATACTTTGTGTTAAAAATAGTGTTCTTTTATGTATTGTTAGATTTAATAAGAACTGTTGCTCCTTTTTTTATATTGGTTATAACTCAGTTTTGAAGGGTATTGTGCAAAAATTATAAATAAATTAAAAGTATGCATTCCCATATGAATTTATTTCCTTCATTCATTAAAAATATCTTTTTAAAAAGCCGCAACCATTTTTACAGATTTTTAAAAGCTGTACAAATAAGTTGATTTCTCTGATAATTCTGCAAAATATCCCTGTTTCTGAAGAACTTGCACTTTCATATTCTCCTGTTCAGTTGGCCTTCTGTGCAAATCATGCAACGTCTCTGTCTTTCTCAAGAGACAGAAACCATAGCCAAGGTTAGATGTTTTCATTCATAAAAAATGGAACTTGAAGTTGTTTGTCCCCTTTTAGATAAGGCTGTTAACATTCTTCAACAGTGAAATGTTCTTGTTTCTCCAGTAGGGGGGAAAAAACCTTTGTGTGTTCTCCATAGGTTAACAGGATCAAAATGCCAAAACAGGTAGATGAGCTTATAGAAATAGAAAGTGATACAGGTACCTGGTACAGGAGATGCTATGTCAGAGTGCGCACAGAACTCGATAGTGTAAGTAACATAATCTTTATAATATTATTTATACTTAAGTGCAAACAATTCTAGAGAATCTAGAGAAATGTATTATTATCAAGTTTAAATAAGTCAGTGTTGAAAATGCTAAAATAGATAAAAGAATGCAACTTCTTATGCTTCTGATTTTTTTCAAAAAATGAATATTCCATGATTCCATATTTCTTTAGGGATTTTCCATATAATGGCACCTTATTTATTATATTGCTTTATCCTTCCCCTTCTCCCAAAAGCTCACTGGATTGTAAGTGATGTGCTCTCAATTTAGTCTGGTGAAATAGATTAGGCTGAGAGACAGTGGCTTGTCCAGTCACTCAGTAATCCACAGAGGTAAGTAAAGTTTCAGCTGGGCTATCCCATGTCTGTTTCATTACTGCTATACATTAAGTGGGGCATACTGACTACGTTTAGGCAAGAATGGCTTCTATATATACTCTACACCATGCAGCAAGGCAAACATAAACATTTCAGGTATGGTGTCTGAAGTTTATAAATACTATAAATCGGCTGAAGTACAAAAAAGGGTGAAAGTCAGAAATCAAATACTTATCTGTACTATTTTTCGTAGTTCTTTTTTTGTTTGTTTTTCTATTTTCTTTCCTTTTTTAGTAATTATCAATAATGCAGTGGAGATTTTGGAACTAAGATTTATACTTTTTCATATCATAAAAGTAACTCAATATGCTTTGGTATGGTCAGTCTTTTATTAATGTTAAGTATTAATTGTATAGCTTCATTAATTTTCTTTGTCCACTTATCCATTTTCTTTGTCCACTTATTATATCTTCTGAAATTATATCTTTGTTATAAATAAATAAATAAATAAATAAATAAATAAATAAATAAATAAATAAATAAATAAAGTCTCCAAATGCTCCAGGAAAAAGTTGGTTTCTTTTGTCCAAGACTTTCTTAAATTTGCCATAGTTTATGTAGTCCTTGTACATTAAGTCAGTGGGCTAAAATCAGTGTGGTTTCATTCCTGTGCTTGATTTCTAAAACTTAATTCAGAAAAATCTTGTCAACTAAAACTAGAATAATTTCTGCACTAATGATTTATAGCATCATCTAGTGTCATCCAACCAAAATAACAATAATGTGGATACTTCAACATTGCTTGGGTGAAGCTATGAAGATGCTAAGGGTCACTAGTGCAGAAATGACCAATGTGTGATGGCTGCTTCTAATTTTCTGCAGGCTGGGAAATCTGTGATTTGTAATTCTACCAGATCTCCACTAAATTAGTTTCAAGTGAAAGAACTTAGACCCTTGTGCCCATTGATGCCATATTTGGCCCAAGAGCTGACAATTGTTACCACCATCTGATACTCTATGGCAGGGGTGCTCAAACTTTTTAAACGGGGCCAGTTCACAGTCCCTCAGAATGTTGGGGGGCCGGACTATAGTTTGAAAAAAACATG